CGCTTGTCAAATGCGACTAAAAATTTATTCTGACGACTAAAACTACAAAAGTCACAAGGGTTACTGGCCTAAAGTATTTGGTCTGGGCGAGTGATTTAAATTGGTCCTAAACGTATGGTTGCTCAATTAAAATGTTGAACAATTATGTGAATAAAAAAATGATCATTTCATCGTTGTTCATACCTTGTTTATACTAAAGAGAGGCACACGTGCTTTGACCTAAAACTTGCATATTATGACCAATCAGAGAAGATTACATCATCCTCTGCGGGTCAGTGAAAGAAGAAGCATGTTGTAGTCGGGTAATTCAAATATCTTAAGAAAAAAATGAGACACTTGGGAATCAATTATGACATTTTCAACATGAGTCTGACCGTCAACAGTCAACGGACTGGTCAACTTCGCCGATCTTCAAAGCCAAAGGTGTGCGTATTCGTACGCGCTGGGGCTCCAGCCAATGCGTAAAATCAGCAAAACAACGCGTAATTACGCACTCTCATATGCTAACGAGTTTACTGTTGAAAGTTTGAATAGCAGCTTTATTGGAATGTTTTTGTTATGTTTTCTTTTTAATTTATTTTCAAACACTGGCATTTTCCAGATGTGACTTTTAAACCCCCATCTACCTGAAGCTCTGCACATTTTCTGTATTTCCACATAAGCAGTTGTATTCAATTTGGTATTAATGTCTTTAAACATTATGTATTATTATTTTATGCACTGTCATCATTTTTCAAATATTGGGATTTTCATTATGTGAATTTGAACTCTGATGGTCCTGAAACTGTAATCTTATTGCAGGGGCGGATTAAGACCGTCTTCTGGGTGTTCTGGATCAAAATTATATGCATGACATAAGCAATGGATGTAGTTGGAGTGTCAGGGATAGTTGGTAATGACATCACAAAAGAATGTAACCATTCATTGGGTGCTAATTACAGTGCCTTCCTCTCTAAACAAAAGTCCATAGTTCACCTGCTGTTCAAAGCCTGAGATTGCCTCGACAGGTGTAACGAACATCCAAATTACTAGAGCTACCATAGGACCTAGGATCTGTTTCTTCCCTACAAAAGAAAACAAAACAGAAAAGTTGCGCGCGAATTTTGATATTACAGAAAAAAAAGGTAGTGAGCATGGTTGCCAAAGAAACATGGAAGCAATTATGGGGATTCTGTTTTATAGTCTAGCATACCCAAGAATTCTATTTCAGTTACTAATGGTGCCATTATTTACTTAACATTATTCATCTAATATTTATGCATGCTTAACATTTTTCCCTGTTTTTCTGCGTTTTCTACCATGCAAAGTTTTCTGAGTGTGAAACTCTGTCTTAAAATTTGTGAGTCTAGGTCTCTACTTATCTATTGCTTTTCAGAAATTCCTTCCAACTTTACAAGTTAAAAACGATGTTGGGGGTTCCCTTTACATTTGACTACGAAAAAATAATATTTTTTCTACCACTTTAGGCTGGCTTGATGGTTAAGTGAAGTACTGTTGTTTGTTGGTGTTGGATCGGGCAGATTGTTATTGAGATTGCTGGGTGGGATGTGGTCAGGGTACGGTGTACGTGTTACTGGGTCTTTGTACTGTTTTAGCCTATCAGCATTTACAGGTGCACGAGCTAATTTATCCGTGTTTGCATCCCTAACCATGTAAGTGGACTCACCTATCTATCATGTGATCAATGTATAAAGGCCCTTTGTATTTTTGTGTGGGCTTTGATGAGTGCCCGACTGGTGTGTGTTCATACTTAACAAGGACTTTATCTCCTACATCATATGTGGGCTGCTTAGCTTGGGTTTGCTGTTATTTCGCTCATTCCTTGAAACAGTTGATCCAGAAGTATATCGT